GTAACGATTACAAAAGCTGACGTTTCGAGCGTTAGCCCTTCGTCGGAGCGAATAGAGGAATTGTGGGTTGCGTGTGCTTTTAAAGGCAGAAAATGGAGCTACGTTAGTCCGGATTACAAAAGTAACGATTACAAAAGCTGACGTTTCGAGCGTTAGCCCTTCGTCGGAGCGAATAGAGGAATTGTGGGTTGCGTGTGCTTTTAAAGGCAGAAAATGAAGCTATGTTAGTCCGGATTACAAAAGTAACGATTACAAAAGCTGACGTTTCGAGCGTTAGCCCTTCGTCGGAGCGAATAGAGGAATTGTGGGTTGTGTGTGCTTTTAAAGGCAGAAAATGGAGCTATGTTAGTCCGGATTATCCGGTTTTAGATCGACCAAGGGCTAGACTATCAGTTTATAATCTCTTGGATCTACTAATAACTCTCAAATTGACATTTTTCTTTATTCGCATCTCTTGTTCACTTGGGAGTCGAAGGGTAAAGTTGCCAATTGTGATTCAATGGAACTAAAATAATGAGGTCTTCTTGCTTCTGTAGATTAATGCAATTTGAAATACAGCTCAAATTTTGTTTTAAAGGGTTACAAAAAAAGAAAAGCTTGAATCGATAGCCCCTTGCAAGAATCATACATTAACTATGCACACTACACTTCATCAGAGGAACTGACTTTTGATGAGTTTTGAAAAGTGTTCCTTGCAATTATGGAAAAATTGACGGATAAGGTTCTTGTCGATCTGATAAATTTGTGTATTTTAAAAAAAGTAAGCTTATTGCACTTGATTTGTATTTTCTGTTCAGTCTTTTTATGCGCTTGGAGAAATTAATACTACGGAGTTACATTCATGTACATCGTTCCTGATATTAATAATGCATCAACCCTAAACAAATACAAAACAATTTTACCAGAGAAACCAGTGTCCGTAGCTTCTCCACTTTGTTTCGATCAACATTCTGACCACTGGATGCTGCAGTGCCTCCTTAAAGTAAAAATGAAGCAAGAATCTGTGAGATGAAAATGTGAATGTAAGAGAAACTAGTGTCTCATTAAACCGGCTGTTTTCATAGGAAGGCTCAATCATGGCAGATTGAACTGGCATTAGATAGCGTACATGCATAGAAGCAAGGAAGGAGGGTGTTAACTTAAGGTTACTAGAAACCTTCGCGGGTCAAATTTGGCCACAAAGTTTTTTTTTCGATTAAAGTTTATTTATTGAAACTTGATCGCCGCTTGGCGTTAACTTCTCAGCGACTACTTCGCGGCACACAGCTTCACTGGGCGATCCTATTTCAATTCAACTTTCTTTACTCTCGCGTTTTGAGTGCTGCATTTTTCGAAAATACGAGACAATTCCGCATTATGTGACGGAGCAAATAATCCCTGGTTCAAAACATAAAATGCGACATATATGCAAAAACTGGGCTAAGTTTTTCTTACAATTAGACTATGAAAGTGTGGTGAAGAGGCCGTGAAATATTACCTTCAAGATTTTAGGTAGGAAGTTGACAGCTGTTGTCTATTTTTTCTTTTGTTCTACCAACGTAAACAAAGCCATTTCGGCTCAAACTTGAATAATAACATACATCAGCGTTACTATTTATCCAATTTTCTCACGCATTATTCAAATTAATGTTGACGGCGTTGTTAGTGGAATAAAATGAACAGACAACAGCAGTCAAATTCATATCTTCAACCGCACGGAAAGCCGATCTTGGCGCCTTCACGCGACTCACATGTCTCAATGTCAAACAAGTTAACGTACATTTTTGTATATATGTTGTACACAGTAGAGAAAGAATGGAAAAATTCCAGGAAGCCACTTTCTTAGAAAAACCAGTTTAACTTTCAATTAAGGAACGAGAGATTTTATACTGGGAAGTACTCTTTGTTCGCCCGGCTAATGCAACTCGCCAATACCAGGAACTGGTTCGAAAATTACCGCTATGGCTCAAAACATATTGAAAATTTGTCAGGTGAATCGTATTCGTGATACATTTAGTAGAACTTGATTCAGAGCTCTTTCTGTAAATAGTTTTTCGTACAAGCTGAAAAATCGAGAGTAAACTCAACGGCGTAATTACTAATAAACGGCTAGATTTAATTTGTTGCAATTCACTGAACCCAAAAAACCAAAATCCTGAAGTTGAGAAAAAATCTGTGAAGCATTTTACGAAGGTGTTCCCGGGATTTCCCCATAACGTTATCACATCAATCGTCAGTTGCCATGTAACGCCCAATAGTTTAAACTTCAAACATTTAGTGAACGTACGTTTGAAATTCGTTCTTGTGAAAAGAGGGAAAGTTGATTTTTGAGTGTTTTGAACAGACATATTCGGTAGGCGTCTCTGAGAACTGTTTACAGCCACCATAAGGTCCCTGTCATCAGTCCCAGACCCCCTTTCAGACCTCTTTCCCGCGGACAAAAAAGCGCTCGTGCTGAAGCGGTAACAAAGTGGGCTTGCTCACAAGCTAACTCTGATGATAAATAAAACCCTGCTTGTTAATTCTTTATCATTATTACTTCAGTAAACCTTACCATGTTATAGCTTTTTGCAATCACATGTAAACAAGACTTGTCTCTCCAGTTAAAATACTCATTATATGCTTGTTGTTCCTCTGCTGACATATTGATCTTTGGAGGTCGTCCTCCCTCATCAGCATCCAGTACATGATAACAAAACTGATAATTCAAAGGATTTTCAGTCATTGTACACCAGACCCCTTCAATTGCCTCTTTCTCTTCTTCACTCTCGTACCTCTCCTTACGTTTTGGAAGATGCGGCCAGTGCGGGATCACCATCTGATCTAACACAGCTACCACTGTTTTCTAAAAAGAAAACAAACAGGTCAAAATAAATTCCATTAAAAGTACATCATTCGTATGTATTAATTTAGACGTTATAAATATGCGCCTACAAACAAATAGGTAAAAAGAAATGTTACCAAGCGCTGTCCCTTCAAGTTTCTCGCATTTTTGTAAACATATAGGTCATATTCCTATGCATATCTAAGATATGCTGGTTTTTTTTTTTGTTTTTGGCCTAAGCAATTTATATTTCGCACTTTCAGCTTGCCTGCTTATTGAAGATTACCTGATGCGGTTGGAAATCTTTGTATCATTATATAGTCATTTGAAGGATACATTTTGAAGCTTGACCCCTTTATAAATACTTGCAGGGACAATAGATAGTTGAATATAATTAATAACACTTGAGGAAGGTGTCTGCCAATAGAGGATCTAATGACTAAGCAAGCAAAACAGATCTTATCAAGGGCTATCAAAATCCGAAAAAATAAAGGGGAGGGGGTTGCCACGCAATGTTTCGAGTTAATTAGGTTTGAGGTATGAAAAAAGTGCAGACGTTGCATTTGTAAAAAAAAAATAGCAAAATAAAATTTCCACATCAATTCCGTTAAATTCAATTTTTTTAAAAAAAAACAAAATCAAAAGTATATGTAAAAATCTTTAATATATCAGAACAAGGTAATGCAAGTTTTTATCGTCAAATGATTGCAATGAGGCCATATTAACCCTCTCATACTTGCACAGCCAAAAATGCTGGCAAAACAGTTTTGTACTAAATGAATGCACCCGTGCAACGTGATTGTTCTGCGTAAGAGACTTTCCCCCTACCTCCCCTACTGAGTAGTGCTTGAATAGTAATAGCCGTGTTGGCAAAGCAAGCCCAAAGTGGCAGAAATCACCAAAAAAAGGAAGTGAGTAAGTTTTATCAATCTTAGGTGTAAAATGTTCATATTTCGGAATATTTAGTGTTGTAAATGGACCACATTTCGTTACCCATACTATTCCTTATGACGTGTTCAAATTCTCTATGGTTCCCACGTCACACCACATGCGATGTGCTCATGACATAATCTTTGGCTTTTCCTCGAGACGTGAGCTTGGGACGAATTTGGTAAACAACGAACTAAGTATGAAGAATTCTAGTGATTTACAGTTCGTGCGCTTTTCACCTGTAGGAAAGGGTACTCTGCTGAAAGCTTTCTCCTCCATCTTACTGAGTCCTGGAGGAGAGCGAGCTTTGGATACAGGTCACAAAGTTGGAGTCTTATTCACTGATTTTCGCTAAGCTTTTGATTGCGTGGACCACATAATTCTTGCAGAAAACTTAATGGAGTCGGTGCATTGGGTGTTAGGTGGAGCTGGATCAATGGTTTTCTCACCAACCGTAAGCAAAGGACTCAAGTTAATAATGTCAGATCTAAAACCTGTTAGAGTTAGAGTTCCTCAAGAATCTTTGCTAGGCCCTAGCCTGTTTGCTAGTTTTGTTAATGACCTACCGGATCACGTGACCAATGGCGAATTATATATGTATGCGGACGATACTACAAATTATGTAATAAGGAATTCTGTTGCCAATATTGTAATAATTTTACAAGAAGTCTTAGGCCAGGTTAATTCCCAGAGTCTTAAGAACAGACTGGTTGTCCCCGAAGGTAAATCCGAAGCGATGATTTTCAGCCCCAAGCCCTTCATACGTCCTATGAAACCTCTGAAGTGAGCGAGGACATTATTCGGTATGTATCCTCCTCTGTGTGCCTCAGAGGTACAATCGATAAGAAATTATCTTAGTGTCAGCATGTCAAATTAACTCGTTCTTCATTTCACATGAAAGTTAAAATGCTGAGACGCATTAGTTTTCTACCCAAATCTATTTCAGAAACTATTTACTTAAGACAGTAATCCCAATATGGAATTGTGATATGGAGGTCTTGCACTTAAAGAACTAGAAATGATACATATTAGAGCTGCTAGAATGATACTGTAAACTCCACGTTTAATTCCCTTTTTTTTCTTCAGAGTTCCACAGCGTCGTAAATCAGCCTCTCTACCTGTCGCTCCACGTCGCTTCGAAATTCTCTGAATCTATTGCAAAACCCTTTGCGAACTTTACAAACTAACTTAGATACTAACTTCAGAGATACTAGAGTTCCAAAGTAGTTACTCATAAAAGAGAAACGAAAAAGATCACGTGCACGTGAACAAATCGCATTGCTGGAATTCACGTGCTACATTCTTAAAATATTTTAGTGGGCACATACAAATAAGACACGACAGATACATATAAATACCAAAGTGTATGAAGGATGATGATATATTAGCAAGAGTCGGGTGGATACCTCTTGAGTATTTCTGTAAGTTCCGCATCCTACCTATAACTCACATAGCATGTAAATTCCTTGGTTATTAAGTGCTCTAATAGTTGATAGACCTAATACTGAACCTGGGCATAGTTCTTTAACACAGGGCAACAATAGGCCATTTTACAGTTGTGTGCTTGGTTGCCAAGTCTTTGAATGGGAGTGAGGCTGAGGGTGACTTTGTCATGATACAAACCTTGCTACCTTTCAAATGTAAATCACTTTGTTATCATGCTAACTAGGTACAGGTCTCTATCATGACAAGGTCACCTTCAGCCTCACTCCAAATCAAAGGCTTGGCAACTAAGTATACAACTGTAAAATGGCCTATTGCCTGGAGTTCCATACCAGATAATTTAAGACAGTTTTCTAATCCAATCGGCTTAAAAAGGCAAAAAGTGATGTTGT